TGCGAAGCTTCGCGTTTTTATTACGGGAGTAATTTTGCACCAAGATCTTCTCTACATCTTATCCATTCCATGTCTATGTCCTCCTCCTCTTCCTCCTCCTCCGCCTCCTCTTCCTCTCCCACTCTTTCTTTCTTTCTCTCTCTCTCTCTCTCTCTCTCTCTCTCTCTCTCTCTCTCTCTCTCTCTCTCTCTCTCTCTCTCTCTCTCTCTCTCTCTCTCTCTCTCTCTCTCTCTCTCTCTCTCTCTCTCTCTCTCTCTCTCCGCTTTTCCCTGATGCCTCATTTTCAGGCCACGCAAGCCGAGCTAGCCCAGACCGGCCACCTTCCTCTCTTCTCGCACACTGACTGACACCCGTCTCTCTCCCAGCTGCCACCGGACTTCTTGGCACCCGCCTCTTCTCCAGGTCCCATACCCCGTGCTGCGCCGACTGGTCGGCCACGCTGCACTGTAGCCAGCTAACGCAATAACGGCCGCCAAATTGAACCGGATGGGTCGGTGACGGGCCGGGGGGGGGGGGGGGCAGGTCCGTCGCTCTTCGATCGCCGCCGCATGAACGAGCAGTAGGCACCGCCGACGGCCCGGGCCGGGCGCGCGGCCGTAGCCCCGACCAAACAGACGTGACGTGATCGGCGTTACTTGAACGGCGTCACGGGACCGGCGCTGACGTGATCGGCACAGAGGACCGGCGTGACGTGACCGGTGTGACGTGACCGACACTGACATGATCAGCGCCGAGGACCGGTGTGATGTGACCCATGCTGACGTGACCGACACTGACATGATCAGCGCCGAGGACCGACGTGATGTGACCGGTGCTGACGTGATCGGAGCCTAGGACCGGCGTGACATGACCAGTGCTGACGTGCCGGCGCTGATGTGACCGACGCTGACATGATCAGCGCCGAGGACCGGCATGATGTGACCAGTGCTGACGTGATCGATGCTGACGTGACCGACGCTGACATGATCAGCGCCGAGGACCGGCGTGATGTGACCGACGCTGAGAACCGGCGAGACGTGACCGGCATCACGTGACCGGGAGGATCGGCGTCACGTGACCGGTGTGACGCGGCCGGCGCCGACGTGACCGGCGTGACGCGAGCGGGGAGGAGGTGACTGAGGCCCGTCTCAGCTGCATTGCTCGCCAGCGCCTGGGCTGTTCAGGTCCAAACGGCGAAACGATGGACATAAATCCTTTTTTTGCTTTTCTGTGTAGGAGAAATTGCAAATTTTGATGAGCGTCGTGTTGTCACAACCAAGCACATCCATTGTTTGCTTGAAGCTACTGGAAAGTTGCACAACTATTTCTCCGTTGTTTCTTATTCGGCTCATGGTAGCACGTTGTTCGCAGTGGGGTAACCACGCTTGGCTTTAAACGTTCCTGAAGTGATTTCTGTAGCATGCATCCTGGCATGGTCTGGGCTTCCGGTGAAAACCAGCGTCATGTTCACTTGCAACAGCAGCAGCAACAAAAACAGACCCGTTCCATCGCGATTGAGGAACGGCAGTCATCCTAAGCGTCCCACAGGCATCGCAGGAAATATCTTAGATCTGCAAGTCGGATGAGAGTCAGAGCTTCGGCTCGTGGGAACAGTGCGCGCTCCCGAGCTGCAAACCAAAACAAAATGCAGCGCGAGTGAGCAGACCCGGCTGCTTCACTCAGTCTCAGTCTCAGTCTCAGTCTCAGGTCTCAGCAGGTGAATCAGGGTTGACCGTTATGCTTGTCTGACGCGGACACTGGACAGACAGTTCGCTTCCACTGAGCTAATAGCGAAGCGCGATACCCCACAGCGGGTGAAGACCAGCCCCCAACAAACCACAGCGACAGATGCCGTGTTAACACGACAGAGGCAGTCGGACAAGCCCAAGTAAACGATATAGCCGTGTATAGTCCTCTTAAAGAGAGTCATCTGACTCTCCAAGCCACTGTAAACGAGCAAACGAGCCCATTCCTGTCGCGATGGCGAGCAGGGGTGTCGCCGGGTGACCAATTCAACCGCCCGGCGACCCGAAATATATTTTCAAACAAAACCTGGCCTCAACTTCGACGGCGAGTATGGGCTTCAATTAAGGACTGGCGCCTGTCAGATCTCTCGTTTCGCCCACAGCGTCTTCTGCCGATTGGGCCTGAGGAGGCGGGGCGGAGGGGGGGGGGGGGGGGTCACAGCGTGCTCGGCCAGGTCGCGGTGGCGCCGCCGGCATGGGACAAGTGTGCGGCGAGCCGGCTCACAAGTGTCCGCCAGCGCGGCGCCCGATCGATGCCCTGCAGAGCCTTCTGGCGTGGTCGGCCCCTCGACACGCGAGTCGGCGCGGATCATCGGCCCGTCCTCGTGCCTCGCCGGCGGCGGGCCGCGCTTGGTGCCAGCTCAGCAGCGGCTGCCGGGACTGGGCGCCAAGCGGAGTGACGGCAGCGGCCGCCGGGACCCGGCGTCGGGGACCTGCCGGCAGCGGCCGCTGGGACCCGGCGCCAAGAAATGAGAAGGTAGTGACCGCTGGGACCCGGCGCCGGGGGACCTGCCGGCAGCGGCCGCTGGGACCCGGCGCCAAGAAATGTGAAGGTAGTGGCCGCTGGGACCTGGCGCCGGGGAACGTGACGGCAGCGGCCGCTGGGACCCGGCGCCGGGGACGTAACGGTAGTGGCCGCCGGGACCCGACGCCGGGGGACGTGACGGCAGCTGGTTGGTCTACTGAGCCGGGGCCCCCGAGACTCGGTCCGTGGACCCCGGATGACTTGTTGTGATCCGACTACGTACTGCCGCGGCACACCACAGCAATGTAAGTATCTCCTCTGTAAACGACTCAGCTTTAGCAAATGGCAACTTAATGGGTCAGGAAATGTTTTGTGAAGTTTTATGCCTTAGGGGACAATCGATGCTATCACTGTTTGGTGACGGTCACATTGCAACCATTGGGATTGTTCTCTCCTCCATTCGTTAATGTTATCAGGTCGTATTCCGATATGGATGCGCTTCCGTTTTTCCCACGTTCTCTTCCTACATTTCTTCTCTCTCACTCTCTCATTCTCTCACTCCTCTGCTTTCGCCGGTCACCGGCCGTGATCCGGCGCTCGGCCGGGGGTCGGACGGATGTAGGCTGTCGGGTCGCCAGGCACCTGAGACCATTTGCCCCGCCAGATAACGTATTAATGCCAACGTCGTGAGGCGTTGGGCTGGGAGAGCTGACAGAAGCTGTTGCTGGGCAGGACCGCGCGGCGTCCCACTGATCTTCGCAGAGGTGCTGCCAGGTGTGGGGGGGGGGGGGCTGGTTAAGGGTGACCTCAGGGGCGCCTCCAGGCGGCAACGTACCACTGATCTCCGCAGAGGCGCTGCCAGGCGGGACGGCTGGTTCCGAGCGACCTCAGGCGCGCCTTGAGACCACTATAAGCTTGGCGCAGCCAAAGGAACGAAAGCGTTAGGTTGTCGTTATTGTGACGCGGGTGGAGCTGATGTATCTCTGTGATAACAGAGAATAACAGAGGGCTGTGACTCCGCGCAGAATGCCACTCGTCGAACCAAAAGTGTGACGAAGCTCCCTCGCCTTTGGCAAACTAATTCTCGATCCGCCCTGAGCTCGCACGGCGTCTACGCCCATCGAGCACTGCCGACCGGGCCACACTAGATAAGCAGGGAAGTCACGCCGACAGCTAAGCTGCGAGATCAGAGTCGGCAGCGGACACGTGCTCTCCCGTCAGCCGGTGGGGCGCGCGGCAGCCGGGCGCCCGTCAAGGACGGCTGTCGGCCGGCACCCCTCATCACCATCGGTCGTGCCGTCCCGGCGGCCTAGTCTCCATCGGATGACATGCACACGGGTCACGCAACGCCGCCGCCGGGCCCGCGTCCCGTCGAGGTCACGGCCGCTGGGGGCGATCGTCAGTTGGGCCTGTCCCGGCCGGCAGCCGAGGAGGGCAGCGGGCAGCAGCGCGTCCGCCCAATCGATTCCAATCTGCTGCCAACAGGAGGGATAGAGACGGCTGGGCGCGATCCGCCGACCGGTCTCCGAGCCACTCCAGTGGACATCGATGACTGGCTCAGTATAATTGCTAAGTACCAGAATCAGCCCGAATGCCATCAGTTATGTTAATGGTCTCGTATACTTTAATCCTGCGATTGTAATTGTCTGCAGTTGTATGTGCCGTGTAGCTTACTGGACTTGAAAATGCGTGCGATTGTTCTGGCACTGAACCTCATAGTTTTATCACATTTGACGTGCCTGGGATAGAGCGATCTCCTGCTTATTGCTGAAGAATTTGACGCTCTACCTTAGTCTTAATTTCCCCTCCTTAATGCCTTCCTCTCTTTTTCCTTCTCTTTCCTTTCCTTCCCGTCGCACTCTCCATCTATCTGCCCTTAAGATTCCCGGCATCCCCTAGCACAAACGCTATCCGGCAACAATAATTTCCTCATAATACCGTTATGATGTTGCATCTTTGCGTCCATCAGGGAAAGTGGAAGCGGATAGTGGCAGAGTAACTTTTGGCTGCCTGATCATAGTCGACCATCGGAGGATAAATTCCTGTGCTTCCCTGAATACACAAGCGCGTGAAATGACACGATCCCGTTGTGATTTGTGCACAGATGGTGCATTTGTCCGTAAACAGTTGTCGTCCCATTTGTCCGTAAACAGCTTTCGTCCTCACATGTGATCGTAATGGCCCAGCTACATCTGCACAGGCGGTAGGCCTGCGCGGATGATGCCCAGTCTGTCCACCTGCACGCTTCTGCATGCCTTATACAACCACCAACTTGAAGCAGGCCTGAATAGCAAATCGCTGGCTTCCGAATCTGTTCAAATATTCACGAGAGCCGTTGAGCTCCCTCTCTACGCAAACGACTCCTCCGATCACGGACGCCGTCACAGTCGGTCGTGCTTCTGCGCCTGCCGCCTCGCGCCTCGCGCCTCGCGCCCCTGCAAACTGCGACCGCCGGCTAACGGGCCCATTCGTCGGCAGGTACGCCGGCGCCGCGCCCCCATGCGCCTCATCCATGTGCTCCTCTGACCAGCATGGCGTCGGCCGGCGTGCGCGTCAGCGAGCTGGGCCGCCGTAAGCGGGACGAGCTGCGTGCACGCCAGCAGCAGCGCGGCCCGGCGCCGCTCGCCAGCCTGGAGGACATCAGCGTCGACCGCAGCGTCGACCACAGCCTGGACATGGAGGAGAGCGAGCGGCGGCCCGGCTGGCACCAGCTGGCGCTGCCCTCGCCGCGCATCCAGGTCAGCAAGGCCAGCAGCTCGGGCAGCGACGGCAGCGGCGCCACTTCGCCCGAGACCGACCTGCTGCGCACCGGCTTCCAGGAGGGCGCCGCAGAGCTTCTCGGCGCCACGGATGAGCTGGGCACGCCGCAGCTGGCGCCGCGCAAGGACTCGGTCTCATCGGCCGGGAGTGAGCTCATCCTGCCGGCGAGCGGTCGCAGCAGCCGGCTCTCCTCCTTCTGCTCGACGGCGTCCGGGCGTCGCTCCGTCTCGCCGTACCGCACCATGCTGGAGACGTCGTTCTGCGGCAGCCGGCCGCTGGCGCCGCCCGATGAGCCGGCCGGCGTTCCGGCGCCCAGCCTGCCGCCGCTCGCCGCCAGCAACGGGCTGCCGACGCCGCCCGAGAGCTGCTCGCCGCCGGTGGAGCGGCGCGCCTGCCCCTCGCCGACGGTGGAGAGGCGCGCTCGCCCCTCGCCGATGGCGGAGAAGCGCGCCTGCCCCTCGCCGATGGTGGAGCGGAGCGCCTGCCCCTCGCCGCCGGTGGAGAGGCGCGCCTGCACGTTGCCGCCGCACCAGGCGCCGCCGCCGGCCGCCGGCCGTAAAAGCTCGCTCGTCCAGATACACCGGCGCGATGAGTCGCTCAGTCCGGCCAAGACGCCTGATTCGCCGTCGCCTCGGCGCAAGTCGTCCTTCAGCCGCCTGCTGCGCGAGGCGCGCAGTGAGCTGCGCGAACGCAGTCGCTCGCGCAGCAAGTCGAAGGAGCACGACAGGGAGGACGGTAAGGGATCTATCCTCAGTCTATTCAAGCGGAAGAAGGATCAAGCGCCGCGGAAGTCCGATGCAGGCTGTGAACGAACGCCCACGCGGTCACCGTCTTTGGAGAACCGACTCGAAGAGAACATCAACAAGGTAGAGTTCAAGTTCTACGACGGCGATTCGCCCGCTCCGACCGCACCTCACTGCAACAGCGTCTCGCCTGCCGTGGAGGCGAAAGAAAGGAAAGGACCGGACGCGCCGGTGGTGAAGGGCTACGGCGACGTCATGAAAGAGCTCAACTCAACGCTGCACCAGCGGACGCCGCGGTCGGCCGGCGACGCGCCGCCGCCGGCACTGCCTGTGAAATCGCCGTCTCGCCAGCGCCACCAGTTCGGCGCCTCGTCTGTCGAGCACGACCTGCCGCGGCCGGCGCCAGCGCAGCCGGAGCACAGGGTGCCGCCACAGGGCGGAGCTGGCACGGTCGCCACCGAGACGAGGCAGGCGACGGCGCACCAAAGCGACGTCGGCGTGACCGCTGCGCCAGCCGGTGGTGACGGCGGCGCGGCGGCGACGCCACTGACGCCGCCGGCGGCGCCGTCCGCGACGGCGGACGACGGGCCGGCGCCGGCGGTGGAGGAGGCGGACGCTGAGGCGCGTTCAGTGCGCTCGTCCGGCTCGGACAAGGAGTCGTCGGCGGCCGAGCCGGCGGCGGCGGCCGGCCCGGACGTGGAGGCGGCGCAGCTTTTCCAGGCCGACTCAGACGAGGATGAGCTGCCGTACGTGCCGACCACGCTGCCGCAGGAGCGGCCGTTGCAGCAGCCCATCGTGCCGGTGGAGCAGCGCGGCCAGGCGATGCGCTGCACGGCAGGCCTGCAGCGGCCGCACGCGACCCGCGAGTTCACGCCCGCCGACATCGGCCAGTTCGTTAGCGACACAACTGACAGGCGCCACGCCGCCCGCCCCGCGCGTGCGCATCCTCATCCCGCAGGACAGCCTCAAGTTGATCCGCACGCCCAAGCGCATGGTCGTGAAGAGTTGGTCGCAGTTCGCGCACGAGGGCCTGCAGAGCCCGCGGCTGCGGCGTCAGGCGCACGCCGGAGACACGCTGACGGAGACCACCGACTCGGGAGAGAGTCCGCGCGTGAGCGCGCTTCGCTCCGCGCCTTCGCTGGTGGAGGAGGAGGAAGCGTCGCCGCCGGCCGCCAGCCCGGCGGCAGCGCCCAGCTCATGGGTCCGCGTGGCCGAGCTGCCGGAGCCGCAGCGGAGGCCGAGGAAACTCAGCGGCGCGGCGGCGGAGGCGTCCCGAGCGGCCGGCTCCGCGGCTGCGAGGACAGCGGCTGACAGCGCGCCGCCGGCCGAGGCGCAGCAGCGCGGCCGCTCGGCGTCATCGGCGTCGCGCCGGCACCGCGAGCCGGAGGAGGCACGCCGCCGCTCCGATCCCGTGGAGGCGTCGACGCCGGCGCGACGGCAGCCGGCAGCGGCGACGGCGCGGTCGGACGGCGCCGACTGCTCGGCCTGCGCCTGCCGCCTGTCGCTGCGCTCGGACGGCTCCGACCAAGAGCTGGCGGCCAGCACCAGCTGCGGGCAGCTGTCGCGCTCGCCGGTGGAGCTGCGTCAGATGGAGCTGCGCCGCGAGGAGATCGAGACGCGACTGAGCGGCGCCGGCTGCGCGCTGCTGCACCAGCAGACCACCGTGCTGGCCGACACGCTCGAGGATGCCACTCTCAGCTACCTCCGCGCCGTGGAGCAGAACCGGCCGGCCGAGTCCGGCGGCCGGCGCGCCGGCCAGGAGCAGGCCGCGCCGCGCAAAGAGTCGTACGGCCACGTGCTGACCGTGGACCGCCCGGGCGGCGGCGGCGGCCGGCCGCGGCTCGCTTCCACCGGCTCGGCCAAGTCGCGCTCGCCGTCGCCGCACAAGATGCTGATCGAGACGTCGTTCTGCGGCCGGGCGCCGCTGCAGCCGCCCGGCTCGTTCGAAATGGATGACCTGGTGGACATCTCGCAGCTGCCCAGCGAGACGGGCTCTCTGCACACGGACACGGACAGCAGCGGCCGCCAGAGCCAGGACGGATGCGTCTGTCGCTGCCACAGCGACGCTGAGGAGCAGGAGCAGGAGCAGGAGCCGGTCGAGCGCGAGCGGGGTCAGGAGCTGCAGGAGAGGCTTTCCAACGGCAGGTCAGCGCCCGCGTGCTCGGCTGGCATGAGACTGAATGCACGTGACTGTTGATGGGGCTCGCGTGGACGTGGGTGTGCGAGTGGACGTTGCGTTTGTCGGTGTCATGGTGACACTCGGTGGAGAGCTGATCCGTTCCCTTGAACTCGCTGGCGTCAGGGTGCTGATGACGTGATGCTGCACGATGTCGATGGCATGAAATCAAATCATTGGATCGGTTACCGTTATCGGTGATAGGTGCCGATAACGTAGAGTGGAACCTGTTGTTCAAAGTTACTCGCCGAATACCCATGTTTAAAAATCTAGCGCAAAACTGTACGATAACATTTATGAGCACGAATATGCTCCGAATGATATCATGTCCCATTCCATTTCGATGGCTAGGTAAGCTCTGCGTCCATTGAAGCCAACATGATGAACATTATAATGGCTAACTCATGATGACGAGAGTTCAGTCGTTTTGTTTTACGCAAGAGATGTGCTGGATTTTGAGATATAATTGCAGCATGATGTTGCATTGCTATTGAGAAAAACGATGTAGCTATTTTAGATGATTTTTGAGCACATAAGAAGCAGGTGAACATCGACCAGCGTCGACAGAACCCGAATGATCTCAAAGAAGTACGTGCGTGATAGTCAACCGAAATAACATCAACCGCACAGGATAACATCTCTGTCGCATCCTCTCACGATCCATTTTACACGTGGGGTGGAAAATGGATCGTTGGTCATGGAGTCATCTCCAGGAGTCACGTCGTCTTTCTGACAACATGACTCTTGGAGCCTCGTTTCCGCTGCTGAGGTCCCAGTCCACAAGGCGCTTGCTGCTGAGGTCCCAGTCCACAAGGCGCTGTCGGACGTCCTCAAACCGCACAGACCCAGCAACGGCGGCGGTTATATTGCGAGCAGTGGATCAACAGAATTTGCAGCGAAGCGACCGAGTCGGCTCGGAAAAACCTGTGTCATCACTGCACAGTTGGTTTCCCCTCAGATATTGTCGTAAATGGTATGCATGTATGCAGGACATCCGATGCGGATTTCGCTTCAGAAGCGATAACCGAGAGTTTGGCTCACATGAGCGACGAATGTGAAGCTGTGGAAAGAGAGCTGCGCAACACATTCAGAAAGTGATGCTGTCGTCATGTTATTACCCTGTATACAAATGATGCTCAGAAAATGATGATGCTATAGTCGGAGAATGATGCTGTCGTCCTGTTATCTCCCTGCATACAAATTATATTCGTGAATAACCTGGTTCACATCCCAATATCCACCTAATATTCAACTAATCTTGTTCGCACGCAAGCAAGCTAAGTTTTCTAAATATTCATGTGAAAGAGTTCGCCTGGATGGTGTCTGGCCCAGAATACACGTTGAGCAAAGCTTGTTCATGTTGTTCTTGCTTGCTCCCTGAGCCCACCGCTCAAGTTGAATCACTCGGTCACCGGCCGGTTTTCTCTCCTTCACTACTCTGCAAACAGAACTGCAGAGGGTTAATCGAGCCCCACTATGCTGTACCGAGGCCACCCAGGCCAGGGCTGACCTTCGCTGGACCATTGCCGGCTGACCTTTCCATATCAGATGGGCCAAACAGACGGACCAAATGGGCAGTAAGGGCGACGAACATTGCAGTTACAACACGTAAATACGTCATTCTCTC